GGGGCCCCTGGGGACATCTGGGTCCGACATGGCAGGAGGGCCTTGTGGGAACTGGGGGTGCCTGGTTAGTGACTGGAGAACAGGGGAGAGGAGGTGGCGAGGGAGGGCAGAGGCAGGTTTTTCCTGCTGCTGTCGCTGCCTTAAGCCCAGAGCTGAGCTTGCAAACTGCAAAAAAGAGAGAGACAGAGAGTAAGAGAGAGAGTGCCTGTGTACGCGAGCAAAAGAAAAGCAGGGGCCAAACCACCTTCGGGGCTTCCTCTCGGGGGAGCCAGCTGGGGGAGAAAAAGAAAGCCACTAGAGACCCAGAGGCAAGTAGAGGTGACAGACTAGAGCAGAGGCGACCGAATTCAAAGCACCCACAACAGGAAGAAGCAGCTGGGACCCAAAGTTGAACATTTCTTGCTTGAAATCCAAAGTCGCCCCCAACACGGGTCTCCAAGGCCAGAGGCAAAGGGGTGAGCCGGCTCCCCCCGTGAAAGGGCCACACAGAGGCCTCTGCTGGGCCTCAAGCCCACTCCACCCCCACCGGCTCCCCCATCGCTGCTCGGGCTCTGCCCGCCAAGCCAAGCGCCCGCCCCGCCCAGCCCGGGCGTCCTACCTACCTCTCGGGCCTCGGCCACCGAGCCGCGCTGCAGAGGGACCTGGGGTCTAAAGATGTCCTTTCTCTCCGGGGGCCTCTCGGGCCCCTGGGCAATGCAGGCCACGGCAGACGGCAATCAAGGGCTACCTGGTGCTCTCCCGCGTCCGCACCTCACTCCGCGAGGCATCTCCGTGGAAAGTTTGCAGTGGAGACGAGAAGAAACCGGCGCTTCCACGGTGGAGCTCGGCGCCGCCCGGGCTGACACTCGGCGGTCTTCCCGGTCGCTGTGGGAGGGGGCGGCTCAGCCCCCCCGCTGGCTCCAGGTCCCTCGAGCGGCTCTCCCGGGACTCCTCCCACGTGGCCCCACGCGATGGAACTCTGGGCTCCTCTGCTCCGCTAGTCTCGGTCTCGGTCTCGGCCTCTCTCTTTCTGGGCTATTGACAACCCCCACACCAGGAAGTCCTGCCTTCTCGGGCCTGCTCACTGCTCCTCTCCTCCTCCTCCTTCCCCTCTTCCTCCTCCCTCCTCCCTCCTCCCTCCTGAGGCTCTCTGCCAGCTGGCCCGGAGCCAGGCCTGCCACAGTCACAGCCAACCCTACACCTGCCGGGATCCAGCCTGCTCTTCCTCGGAAGGAGGGGCGTGGAGGGCGGAGAAAAACAGGAGGAGCCTGCGGGAGGCCAGGGATTCCCTTGTAGTCTTTTGCTGCCATTGGTCTGCAGGCTCGCCAAAAGAGTTGCACGGAACGTGCCAGACATGTCCTGGGTACCTGGTGGTCCATAAATACCTAGTAAATGTTCCTGAGTGGCTGTGATTGTCACAGCGTTTCTGGTTTTCACTATAACTTCACGAGAAACTCCTCCCCACTCTTTTCTAAAGGGGGGGGTTAGTTATGAAAATTTTCAAACACGCCCCAAAGTAGAGGAAATAGGATAATGAACGCCCACGCGCTCCATCATGGACCTGTGACAATTATCCGTCTACCGAATTGTGCTTCATGCCTCCAATATCTTTTTCTCGGATTTTGCTGCAGTATTTGAATTTTTACGTGCGTGTGCGTGTGTGTGCGCGCGCGCGCGCGCGCGTGCGTATTTGAAGGTCAACTTGCAGGAATCAGTTCTCCCACCATGTAGGTCCCAGGACGGAATAGTGCCAGCCATCTGGTTTGGCTGCAAGTGCCTTTACCCATTGAGCCATCGTTATCTATCTTGTTCCTGTATATGTTTTGTTTGCGGGGGCGGGGGGCGGGATTCGAGACTGGGTTTCTCTAGCTGACTAGGCTGGCTTCGAACTCAGAGATTCCCCTGCCTCTGCCTCTCGAGTGCTGGCATTAATGGTGTGTGCCACCGCTGCGCCAGGCTCTTCCTGTATTTGAAATCCTATCTCTAACACAATATTATTCCCTTTCTTATACAAGAAAATGGAGAGGCAGAGTACCCAAAAAGGCTGTTGGTAGTAGGACAGGAATGTCTGTGTGGCATATGTCCACACGCATGTGCAATTGCATGTGTTAACTAGAGAACCACATTGGGTGTCCTATTCACTCTCCACCTTATTCCTTTGAGACAGGGTTTCTTGCTGAAGGAATAGCTTGGTTGGCAGCCAGCAAGCCACAGTGATTCTCCTCTCTATCTCCCACAGCACTGAGGCTATAGGCTCATGTAGCCATGCCTGGCTTTTTACTTGGTTGCTAAAGATTTGAACTCAGGTACTCATACTTGTGCAGCAAGGACTTTTACCTGCTGAGCCATCTCCTCTGCTCAGAACAGATATAGCTATACATTCATCTATGTCCGTATCCGTCCCTCAGCTAGACACATAGGTAGACCTGATGAACTTGCTCAACTCTATTTTCCCCACAATGGTTTGACACACAGCTGTGTCCACAAAACTACCCCATAGGTGTACCCGAAAGACCAATCCCAGCTGGCCACAGGCATAGACCCCTTCCCACCTCTCCCATACTATTCCCTTAATGATGATGAAGGAGAACCCACACACACATAAAGGGTCTACTTTGTGCCTGGCATGAAAAAACAAACTCCCAACTGCCGTTTTTCTTTCTTGGCACTCATAACTTGGCATTCTGAGTGGGAGTCTCTCAGCCAAAGCAGGATCTAAAGGCGGCATCTGCCCTCACTCAGGGGTTTGGAAGGAGATGGGTTCTAATTAATTTTACTCAAGCAGAACTGTTCTTAAATCCTAGCTGGGTGTGGCAGTGTATGTATCTGCCTGTAATCCCAGATCTTGGGAGATAGGTTGCCTAGAGGCAGGCAGATGAGGAGTTCAGGACCAGCCTCAGCTACATGAGATCAAGTTTAAACCGCAGCAGAAAGACAGACAGAAGGAAAGAAGGAAGAGCCCTTGGTTAGGCTGGAGGTGTAGTTTAGTAGAGTACTTGCTTCATATAAATGAAGCCCTTGGTTCCATCTCTAGCACCAGTAAACCATGTGTAGTGGTACACACCTATAATCTCAGCACTTTAGAGGTTATTCTTAGTACATAGTGACTAAAAGGCTAGCTTGGGCTACAGAAAACTCAGGCAGTGGTGGTGCATGCCTTTAATCCCAGCACTTGGGAGGCAGAGGCAGACGGATCTCTGTGAGTTTAAGACCAGCCTGGTCTACAAGAGCTAGTTCCAGGACAACCTCCAAAGCCACAGAGAAACCCTGACTCGAAAAACAAAACAAAACAAAACAAACAAACAAACAAAAAGGAGAGGGTCTTATATAGCCCAAGCTAGTAGCCATGTGAACTTCTGATCCTTCTGTCACTATTCAAGAATTACAAGTATAAGCCACACCTAACACTCGTGGGAAATTCTAATCACTTTTATTGTTGTGGTAGTGTTGGTGATGGTGCTAGCCATGGAACGTAGGCATGCCAGTTAAATGTTCTACCGACTAGCTACACTTCCAACCCTCTTTTTTTGTTTGTTTAGAAAACTTGCTCTGTAGACCAGGCTAGCCTCGAACTCAGAGATCTGTCTCCTAAATGCTGGGAATAAAGGCATGCACCACCACCGCTGGGCTCCTCTAATCACCACTACCCAGCTTCTCTTTTCACTTTTTTGAGGTAGGCTCTCAGTAAATTGCCCAGACTGGCCTTGAACTAACAATATAGGCAGGCTGGGATTAAAGGAGAGTGCCACCCCAAACCGTTCCTCTAACCATATTTTAAGGTTAAGCAAGTATCTTTTTTTATTTTTTATTTTTTTTTTTTTGTTTTTTTAAGACAGTGGCTTTTCAGGGTAGCTTTGGAGCCTATCCTGGCACTTGCTCTGGAGACCAGGCTGGCCTCAAACTCACAGAGATCCTCCTGCCTCTGCCTCCGGAGTGCTGGAATTAAAGGCATGCGCCACCAACGCCCGGCTCGTATCTTTTTTTTTTTTTAAAGCAATTCCTAGCTGTGTATGGTGGCACACACCTTTGACCCCAGCACTCTGGAGGCAGAGGCAGGTGGATCTCTAAATTCAAGGCCAGCCTGGTCTACATTGTTGAGTCCCAAAACAGCCAGGAATACACAGAGAAACCCACCATGTATTGAAAATCCAAAATGGGGGCTGGAGAGATGGCTCAGTGAATCTGGGTTCAATTCCCAGCACCTACATGGCAGTCCACAACTGTCTCTAACTCCAGTTCCAGGGGATCTGACACCTTCACATAGACATACATGCAAATCCCAATGCACATAAAATAACAAATAAATCATTAAGAAAAAAGAAAAAGAAAAACCAAAAAGCAATTCCCGTCCCCCCCCCCATCTATTTATTCTTGCCTTTTTGTTAAAAATGGATCCAGTATTGCCTGTCTGTTTTGCATTAGCCATAGTAAATAATGGCTGTAGTGGACAGGTCCTAAATTCCCATATTCCCTCACTCCTCAAGACCAGATCCCTATATGGGCTCTTGACTTACAACCTCTCTTCCTTCCTAAGGACTTTGTTTATTTAGAGTCTCATGTAGGCCATATTGGCTTCCAACTTTTGTAGCTGAGGATGACCTTGAACTGAAGATCCACTTCCACCTGAGGAATGCTGGGATCACAGGTGTGTGCCACAGCGGGCCAAGCCCCCAATAACGTTAATTGAGGGAAGTATGAAATGAGGCATGGCTCCAACAAGTAACAGTGAGATCTGCTTGAGGCCGCACAGTGCACCTGCAAAGACTTTGCCGCATTGCAAAGCATCCACAGGTACCAGAGATTAGGGTGTGCATACTTTGCAAGGGTCCCATTTTCCAGTCAATGGAGGGTACATCTGAGGTCTTGAAGCTAATTTACCCAACCACAGAGCTAAGCGTCAAAACAGATCCAAGCAAGGAATTTGTCACCGGGCTGATGAAGCCACATCCCTAACCACTCCCAGGCGGTGCCCGGGATGGTCTCTGGTAGAGGCCAACCTAGTGTGCCCAGATCCTGACGGGCGGCGCCCACGGAGTCAAAGGTTAGTAGAGGATGACTTGGACCGCGGGGGCGGACGTGCGGAAGACTTTGAGCCCCACACGATGGAACAAGGTCCGGGCGCCTGGGAGGAGGCCCAGCACCAAGCCAGCCAACTCTCGCCCTCCCCTCACCTAGGGCAGGGTGGGGGTGGGGGCACGGCGGAGACTAGGCCAAAAGAGCACGCCCCTGCTGCGCAGATGTGCCGATCTCCGGGCTCCGACTCGGATTCCCTCTGCCAGGCTCACCGCTTGGCAGCACCCAGGGACCGCGGCCGCAGCCTCCCACCCGGGAGCGCTAAGGCGCACCGGGTTCACGGGTGGGTGCGACCTCCAGACTCCCGCTGGGGGGCGCCGCTGAGCACCCCGCTCCGCTTTGGGTTTGGGAGACCCAACCCAGCACCGCCCGCAGGGGCAGGGGGCTCGGGTCGCTTGGGACCAGACAGCCGAAAGCTGGGGGGCCGGACTGCCGCA